CAAATACATTAAAACATCAGTTTTTGTTAATTTATTAATTAGCATAAAAGCGAAAAACACGGAAATTTTTATTTATTTGCTTTGTCTTCTACTAAAAGGTCTTTAAGGTGAGTGAGTTTTAATGTGTGAAATATTGTACATTGAGAAAGATAATAGTTTAGACAGAACATAGAATGGAAAACAAAGGATCTGAAGAACCTTATAGGTAAAAAGAGAGCGTGGTACAAAAGGATTAAGAATATGTAAGTCAGTTTAGAACCGGAATTTGTACAACTGGTTAGAAATGTTTAAAAAGATATTAGGAGGACAAAAAGAAACAATGAACATAAGAATATAAAAACAAAAGTAACTGCAGAAGGCCTATTGGCCCATACGAGGCAGCTCCTATTTATAACCACCCAATCCCACTCATATACATGTCCAACCCACGCTTGAAACAATCGAGGGACCCCGCCTCCACTACGTTTCGTGATAATTGGTTCCACAAATCAACAACCCTGTTACCGAACCAGTATTTACCCAGGTCTTTCCTAAATCTAAACTTATCCAATTTATACCTATTGTTTCGCGTTCTGTCTTGTGTTGATACTTTTAATACTCCATTAATATCCCCTTTGTTATGTCTATTCATCCACTTGTAAACCTCTATCATGTCACTGGTGATATGGTAAAGGGAACAATGGCCATATTCATGGCCATTGTTCCCTTTGCCTCTCGGCAAAGCCGGTCGGAGCCGAGCGGGGGCCGAGCCGGGGAGCCGGTCGGCCGAGCGGACAGCACGCTGGGCTTGTGATCCTGTGGTCCTGGGTTCGATCCCAGGCGCCGGCGAGAAACAATGGGCAGAGTTTCTTTCCCCCTATGCCCCTGTTACCTAGCAGTAAAATAGGTACCTGGGTGTTAATCAGCTGTCACGGGCTGCTTCCTGGGGGTGGAGGCCTGGTCGAGGACCGGGCCGCGGGGACACTAAAAAAAAGCCCCGAAATCATCTCAAGATAACCTCACCCCTAGCTCTTCGTCTTTCCAGTGAATGCAATTTAAGCTTTGTTAATCTTTCTTCATATGAAAGATTTCTAATTTGGGGAATTAACTTAGTCATTCTACGCTGGACACGTTCAAGTGAATTTATATCCATTCTATAGTACGGCGACCAAAACTGAACTGCATAACCTAAATGGGGCCTAACCAGAGCAAGATATAGCTTAAGAACAACACCAGGTGTCTTGTTACTTATGCTTCGATTAATAAATCCCAGTGTCCTATTTGCCTTATTACGAACATTCATGCATTGATCCTTTTGTTTTAAATTCTTACTAATCAAAACTCCCAGATCCCTTTTGCAATCCGACTTCGCAATCTCAACACCATCTAGCTCGTATCTTGTAACTCTATCATCATTACCTAACCTCAGAACTTTACATTTATCAGCATTAAACTGCAGCTGCCAATCCTTTGACCATTTCAAAACCCTATTTAGATCAACTTGAAGAGATAGTGAGTCTTCTTCCGTGTTAATTTCCCTACCGATTTGTATCACCGGCGAGAACTTAAGAGTTTCTTATCATTCAGTTCACTGGAATAATTCATGCAAATTTGTGGAGTGTTAATTAGTTACTGAAAGAAATATTATTGAATCTTCATTTATAAAAAGTAGTGAATTTGATCATTTTTAATGTAAGTCGAGGACAGCTTAATTATTTCCGATTCCCTTTCCTCACTTCTAGCAATAAACAATTTGCAATCAAGTAATAACGTGCTTGTCTCAGAAGCCAGGCATAGATATATAAGCATACTTAGCAAGAGGGTAAATATAAAAGTGTTGTGGATTCCTTCTCACATTGGCCTGCTGGAACATGATGAAGTTGACGCCCTTGCTAAGGTTGCAGTAAATAAAGACAGTATTGAACGGAATCTTGAGTTATCAATTAGGTCCCTTAAAAGAGTCATTAGACAAGAACTTTCGGATGTATTTGAAGAAAGTAGAGCAGTGCAAACTGGAACTAGCAGGTCCATTGTTTATCACAATGAAATATGTGAAGTAAAACATGTGTATGGGGCAAGTAACAAAGTCAGCAGAATAACAGACGTTGTCACATCTCGAATAAGACTTGGCTACAAGTATCTCTGGCAGTTCGGCTTGTCAAGGGATCTAGATGAAGTAAAGTGTAAAGTGTGTGGACAAAGACAGGGACACACACTCGAACACTATATCTTGGAATGTAGTAAAATTGAGCTATTTAGAGATAAATCTAAGCTCACGCTGAATTATATGGCAACCTACCTTATTACCAAGGATAAAATACCTGAAATCCTAGCACTCTATCCATATTTCACTTCCAGTAGATAAACGACATAAGAGATTAAGAAACAAATCGTGTATTGTGAATACTAATAATAAACAACCGCTCGTCTATGACTGTAATATCTCCACTGTTCAAACAATTGTGTATTAGCGATAAGACTTACCATGTATGTATAATGACTTACTGTTAAGGGTCCGTCTAATTACCACAAGCTACCACAAACTACACAAACTTCAGAAAGCTTCCTGGCAATACGTTAGTAATGAATAAATATGATATATTAAGTTAGGCTAACCTAACCTATCCTAACCTATCCTAACCTAACCTAACTTAACCAAACCTAACCTAACCTAACCGAAGCTTGGATCGTCGACTTGATTTGGCGTCACCAGCTTTTTATTTTCGTCTAATTTCTTTATAAAAAGATACTTTTTCAGATTAAAATTATGTTTTGTCGTGTTGTACATTCAGCACCAACATTATAATGAGTAAATATATCATATTTATTCATTACTAACGTATTGCCAGGAAGCTTTCTGAAGTTTGTGTAGTTTGTGGTAGCTTGTGGTAATTAGACGGACCGGATGAAATTATTTATGTAATAATTTAAGTTGAGGTCTGATAAAGACCTTTTGTGCCCTTTGTAATACTTTTTGCGCTACTGCTCACAGGATGGGTATTGGGTGCAAAATAAACTAGCCGCCTCCGGCGGGAACAATCAAATCAATCAATCAGATAACTTTATAATTACCATGGTGTGTGATAGGAATAAAATTATGTATACAATTAGTGTATGTATAGTACATTCCAAGTATGATGGAATACCGAATTAATATCCAATTAATCAACCCTCCTTCATGTCACTTCCATTAATCGATATTTTAGTTTACTGATATTTGTCTATTCAGATGAAGTTGGGTATATAATCCCCAAACCTTAGGTCTTCTGTTTGTATTTCAAATATATATATATATATATATATATATATATATATATATATATATATATATATATATATATATATATATATATATATATATATATATATATATATATATATACAATTGCACCAGTAAACAACACAGAAATCATCGATAGATACAGCGATAGCAGGAGGCTTGACGTTTGCGAGGCACTACACATCAAGAAGTCAACACCAGCAATCAACAGCCAATTATTGCACAACTATATTCTACCCACCTCAAGACTTCGCTCCAATATAGAAGCATCAAGATATATATATATATATATATATATATATATATATATATATATATATATATATATATATATATATATATATATATATATATATATATATAAACTAACACAATATAATAATATTATTAAAGAAGAATAGTATTGTTCCTATTTAATAAAAACATATTGATGTGTTCGGTGAGAATCCACAATCTAAATACTAGTTACTTTCTCCTCCGAGGCTATGGGTCCCTACAATTGCACCAGTGGTGGTAACCCTATATATTGATTAGATTAGAATTGATTAGAGAGATAACGGCCATATAGGATCATAACATTTTTGTATTTATCCTGACATTAAATTATCAACCCGTCACACACACTTCAGAAGCCAGCATTTCTAAGTTTGATTCGCTCCTCAACAATTACTCTGGTAATGACAACCTTCTCGCCCATGGAACAATGTTGCTGCCCCTTCAAACCCACCAATAACAGATTGATTGATTGATGATTAAGCCACCCAAGAGGTTGCACGGGCATGAATAGCCCGTAAGTGGTACATTTTTTTTTCTCAGTATTCTGAGTTTGCATTTAACCATCAAGCTGTTATCGCGGGGGAGGATACTGCTTCACAGTCTTTATGAGGGTGTCCAGCTGCTACACCAATAACAAATCCAATTATCCAGATATACCTGGAAGTTTCACGGCTGGTTACCCCTCACTACTGGTAGACACCCACTGCTACTGAACCTCACCGACCCTTGACCCGTCCACCGCACCCTTTCATATCCCGTCTCTGCTTCAATTATCTCTATTGTCCTCCACACCCAGGCAACCCATCCCAGCCCCTCCTCTCACCTCTCCCTGCTTCCCACCTCCTCGCCAAGAGGCACGCCACTTGGCGGTGGTCAAATGAACAAATCCACAAGGGCCGTGACGAGGATTCGAACCTGCGTCCGGGAGCATCCCAGACACTGCCTTAATCGACTGACCTATGTTGGGCTTAAGGACTATTACCCTCTGGAGGGACATCTATCCCAGGATAAAAATGGGAGATCGTGAAACAACACTACGATTGAATTAACAATCGGAAGTTAATTTACTTACAAATAATCGAGAACAATTTAGAAAGAGTTAAAATATATCAACATTTAGGCCAGTGTAGGATATACCCGCGAGAGTTTGGAATGTGAGTTGCACCGTCAATCAATGCCACAGGTTATTTTTTTACATTGATTTAAGATATGTGAACGGATGCCAAATTCATCATGCCCAGGCAATAAAACATTCTACGCGATTAATTATTGTCAACAAATCAAAACCTTCATTTGATGAGAATGTAGAGTAATTAGCTGGGAAGGTAGGGATTAACCATTTGACTAGTTAAGACTCAGGTAGGCAAATCTCGGCGGCGCCAGGTTAAAAGGTCAGCTGAAAAGGTGTATAAAAGGCCAAGTTTGGTCAACCTATAGTCATTACCAGCTGTCAGTTACCAGCAGCATGACTCCCCGGCCAGCAGTGAAGGAACAGGAAGCGGCGTCAGTCTGGGTCCCGGAAAACAGCTCCTGCTCGTCCTTCATGTCTCCTCGAGCAGCAGCCTTCACTATCAACGCTCTTCTGAGTCTTTATTCCTGCAATGAACACAGAAGCACCAAGCCAGTGCCTTGCTCAGACTTTTGTGAGGATCCCAGACGTCGTCACGAGCCTTCATCTCCCACTTGCGCGACCTTCACCTCCGTGGTAGGACCTCCGCCACCACCCAGCAAGCTCCCATGTGATAATTCTACCAGTCTCCAGGATATAGTACCAGTACTCATCGCCAGAACCTCTCTCCAAGATACTCCCTCCACCCATCAATTCGACTTAGAACCAGTTGCCACTGCTACTAACCAGGACAAACCCGCTTCCGATCAACAAGATGTAAGACCAGAACTAATCGCCAGTGCTTCTCAAAAAAGAATCAGCTCAGGTCTACGAGATTTTAGACGCAAACAAGTTAGAAGAAACACCAACCAAGATGCACTCAGCGCCCATCAACAATACGCAAGACCAGAACTAGTTCCCGGAACCACGGGCAGCAGCCAGAAAGACTCTATTACCAAGGCGAGGCGTGCGCGAACAGTCTTTTCTGATTTTCAGCTGAAGCGACTTGAAGAAGAGTTTAAAAACCAGTTTTATTTAGCGGGTGCTGGACGTCGCAACCTCGCCACTGAGCTGGGCCTGAACGATACCAAAGTTAAAGTATGGTTTCAGAATCGGCGAATTAAGTGGCGTAAGGACCATAATGGCGAAGAGTTGAGACGCTCACCTACAGATCCTTGTAACGACGTCAGCTGCTGCAGGCCATCTTCGGTGTGATGTCGCCGCCTCCTGAAGTCTTCCTCTCTGTAGAGTGGAAGTATTTCCTCCTGCGAAGGAACTGGTTAATAGTCTATGCAACCTGTGAGGTTTAATTTAAATTTATGGTCTGTTGATATTTAGAATGTTTATTTATATTTTTGATGCATTGTAAGTGTGACGTGCTATATTTCCGAAAATAAATGTTGGTCAACTAAGTCAATGGAGGTTTCTTAACCTAATCTTGTAAATAACGATACTGAATTTCATCGACAACAAGGTGTATAATTCATGTCCCCAGTAGACATGTGTGTAACAGTTGAAATCGACTTGATAATAACTTTTCAACGATATGAACCATACATTATTTCCTGTTAACTATGACTAGTCAGGAACTATTACAGGAAACATTTGGACAGGACATTTTTAATTTTAAAGTAAATATCTGAAGACTTGCAGCATACATTTATTAATTATTATTATTATTATTATAATTTTATCTCGTTTAATATTATTGCAACATGTATTTGCATTATTTCTATTGGACAATTTATTATTATAACTGATTTGACTAATATAACTAATATATATACTGATATAAGTAATTTACTCTGGAGAGTAAATTTCAACAATAAATGTCTTAAGCAATAACAACACTAATAAATATATTTTTGTTGTTATTGTTCAATATAATGTTACTATGACACAATTTATTATTACTTAATTTCTTTTATTTTTTCCGTGCCTTAAGTTCCTGACTAATCCCGACCTATCGCGACTGCTAGGTCTTTCCGTATTAAGGTTTACCAACTTCGACATTATCCAGATGACATTTGGTAGCTGTAAACGTTTCAGAGGTTCAGATCCGTTCGTTAGCTGATGTTACATTTCATCTGAGAAGGGAAGGGAACTATCAGGGAAAAGCACCAAGGCCTTATGACTATATAGCATTGGGAAGGGGTCAGGATTTGGGATGGGACGGGGGGAAGGATTGGTGTCCATCCACTTAGACGGTCGAGGATTGAACGCCGACCTGCATGAAGGGAGACCGTCGCTCTACCGTCCAGCCCAGGTGGTTGGACTTCATCTGAGAAGCTTTCGTTAAATTTAAAGACTAAGTAGTTTTGCAGAGATTTAGTCTTCAGATTTTATTTCCTATCAGATTTTAATATATGTGAATTTGTTAGTCGTAAATTTGTCTGAATTTTAACAAATAGCTTTAGGTAAAGGATTGAATATATTTCCAGAGATTGACGTGAACCTCTTTGGCGATGGTTATTGAATAGTTAATGGTAAAGGGCTCCCCGTGGGGTTAATAATTAGTTTCGGGAGACTTTTAAATTTCCTACAGTGTTTAACTACATCATATTTCCCAATGTCCTTTATTCTCTTCTACGAGACTAAGGGTCCCGCACAACTGCACCATAAGTATTCCTACTTAAATATAGAAGTATTATATATATATAGAGAGAAGTATTCCTACTTAAATATAGAAGTATTATATATACAGAAGTATTCCTAATTAAAAAATATAAAAATATATATTTTTAAGTTTATACTTACGTATTTTAAATTATTTAGATTTTCTTATATGTGTATGTGTGTATATTCTAATCACACACTACACTACAATTTGTTCATATTATTTTGATATGAAATTGCAATTATTCCGGTTCCGGTTGCAATTATTTTGACCATGTCGTGGTTCAATCGACTAAGGCAGCGCCTGGGATCATCCCGGTTCGAATCCTCATCAAGGCCCTTGTGGATTTGTTCATTTGATATATCACGCTATTGTGATTTATTGTGTGTCTTTATTTTGTCTAATATTTACCATCTTCTTTCCATTAATTAATTTGTTTATTTGTTATCATATTATGGAGTTCATATTATACAAAGTTCTTCTCTAGTAAAGACTGAAACTCGGTGTTTTAGGTTAGTTCGTTTATTATGCACCCCATACCCATCATATGGGTGGTAGTGGAAGTGGTTACAGAGGCACATAATGGGTTCAGGAACTGAGATTAAAATTAATTTAACTAATTAAAAAAGTAACATCCCAGTCTTAGGTTCAAGTAAGTTTATTGAGAGCAAAATCCCTCCCTGAAGGTTAGAATAGCTTAGGGTTTTAATACCCGTCTTTATCACAAACCCCTTAATGGACTCAAAATTATCTTAGCACTTACATTCTACGAAACATATCTATTACAGTTAAATAAGTTAACCACATATCATAATTACATCATACTTTACAATTACATTCACATTAATTACATCTAAAATATTACAAATAAGATTTAAGTAATTTTATTGTTATTCTAAGTCTACGGATTCGGTTTCGATTCCCGGTTGAGAAATAAAATGTTCATATGCTTTTCCCTATTGTCTCTGTTCACTTAGCAGTAAATAAGTACCTGGGAGTTAATCAGCTGTTGCAGAGTGCATCCTGGGGATGTATATATGTGTGTGTCTGTGTTAAGGAGAAATATGTATTATATATGACCGGAAGGAATTAGTCGGGATTTGACTCTTGGGTGGCTTAATCTTCATCAGTTAGGTCGGAATTCAGTATATTAGGCAACAGACGGTTAGAAAGGCGTGGTCTAACAAAAAGAGCTAACACTTCGATCTTGCAGGGACAAATAGTAAATACAAATGGACACGGATAGACGGACAATCTAAATGCATCATTGTTTAAACGTGGCAAAACTCAACAGTTCCCCAGCTGTAACTCTGGTTAATTTAACTCATCACGATCCATCAGTCACACTGTTAAACTGCAGTGTAGTTGACCAGTAGTCTTCCTCTGTCGCCAGTAGAGTTTCGGTGGCCTGAGAAATACGAGAAACGATGTTAAATGTCATGAAAGTCTTTATAGTGGGACTGTTTACACACAATATAAGTTCCCCCCACTCTATCAATTGCAAGTAAGTTGAGAAAGGGAAGTACATCTCAAAAGGATAGAATAACTATTTCTGCCCTCGTCTATAGAAGGTTCCTCAAGGGGCTCACAAACTCATTCAGTACACAATTAGTAATCATATTCTATATTTCACATTCCAATAGTAATCATATGGCATACAATGAGATCTATTATTGATTATGCTGTCCCTGTCATTCCTTGTTTTGGAAATGAGAGACTAAACAAGTTGGAAAAGGTAAAAAATGATGCCATGAGAATAATCTTGAGATTATTCTCATGACCCATGAAATACTATTATTGAGAAAATGATGATATAAATGATCATAATGATGATATAAATGAACATAATGATGATATAAATGAACATAATGATGATATAATTGAACATAATGATCATGATATAATTGAACATAATGATCATGATATAATCGAACATAATGATGATATAATCGAACATAATGATGATATAATTGAACAGTATTGGGGATATAATTGAACAGTATTGGGGATAGAATTTCAAAGATAATTGAAGTTTCGGTGATTAGACTAATGTGAGGTGAAGGAGCTAATGAATTAATCCTCTCACCTTAAATTTTGGGAAGCGATTAATAATGCTTGTGGAAGCATAATAAGATCCTTATGGTCTAAAGTTACAAAGCATGATGTCCTTCAGGAATGTATTTCATTGCCAAAGAAACAATTAACACCAACATGGAAGGAACACAAAGAAGATGAAGTAATTTTTCCCTCTATGTTTTCAGACTCTTAACTTTGCTGCGTCTTGCCAATTCATTGATAATCGACATTGCTGGAAAGAGCATCATCGACATCACCTTGTCCACAGTCTCCCCTCATTTTAAGTCATTGAGAAGTAATATCGCCTTAGTCAGAGACTATAAATATTTTGAAATTTCTTCTTGCCCATCACTTGTACTTCCCCTACTACCATCAAAGGGAATTTTAATCTTAACAATGTCTTCCAACTCTATTTTTGTAAACCATTTTTCTTGATCTTCTCCTTAGAAGCTCAGATGTTGAATAACGAAATTCCGCCGGAGAAGTGAATGACAATAATGTTGTAATTCAAAGAAAATGTTGATTTCAAAACTGTTCAAATCAGTATTTTCTACCACATGGGGGGTTGAACACTGTCATCATTAGCGGATAGTTAATTTTCCTGAGACTCTTCCATCTGTGATACGCCATCCTCTTCTATACTTTCTTCTCCTTCTGTTTCATTCATAAGAACATAAGAACAAAGGTAACTGCAGAAGGCCTATTGGCCCATACGAAGCAGCTCCTATCTATAACCACTCAATCCCACTCATACTTGTCCAACCCGCGCTTGAAACAATCGAGGGACCCCACCTCTACCACGTTACGCGGTAATTGGTTCCACAAATCAACAACCCTGTTACCAAACAGTATTTACCCAAGTCTTTCCTAAATCTAAACTTATCCAATTTATACCCATTGTTTCGTGTTCTGTCTTGTGTTGATACTTTTAATACCCTATTAATATCTCCTCTGTTATGTCCATTCATCTACTTGTAAACCTCTATCATGTCACCCCTAACTCTTCGCCTTTCCAGTGAATGCAATTTAAGCTTTGTTAATCTTTCTTCATATGAAAGGTTTCTAATTTGGGGAATTAACTTAGTCATCCAACGCTGGACACCTTCAAGTGAATTTACATTCATTCTATAGTACGGCGACCAAAACTGAACTGCATAATCAAAATGGGGCCTAACCAGAGCAAGATATATCTGAAGAACCTCACCAGGTGTCTTGTTACTAACACTTCGATTAATAAATCCGAGTGTCCTATTTGCCTTATTACGAACATTCATGCAATGATCACTTGGTTTTAAATTCTTACTAATCATAACTCCCAGATCCCTTTCGCAATCCGACTTCGCAATCTCAACACCATCTAGCTCATATCTTGTAACTCTATCATCATTACCTAGCCTCAGAACTTTACATTTATCAGCATTAAACTGCATCTGCCAATCTTTTGACTATTTCAAAACCCTATTTAGATCAACTTGTAGTGATAGTAATGTATTCGTCTATATTAGCAGTAAAGACCTTATTGTGATCTTCAAGTTTATAAAGTGGAAAATGAAAATTTATTTAACATTAGTGACAAATAAATATATTAAAATCCTCTTAGTTAGCAGAAAAAAATGATGATGTAATAAATCAGATTTCTTTAGTGATATTGATCACCAGGTCCCTACCAGGACCTACCAGTAGGGGAGACTGTGCTGAAGAAAACACTGCTCATGACTGAAGAAGATCCTCTTTTTCGTCCAAACAGCCTGCAAATCGAACAAACGAATATAAGAGTTAATAGCCTTAAAACCAACGTTCTTGTCAAACCTCTCATTTGTCCATATCCTCAGAAACATACGAATAGAGGAAACTACCTACGTCCCTTTGACCCATGCGAGGCAGCACCAAGTCATACTCGCTATGCTCGTATATGCATGCGTGACTTACACATGAGATACGTGGGATAACGCTTCGTCTAACTCACCTGCATCCAGGAATCATCGCGAAAGACACGGTAGCCGACCATCCCTTATAGAAATTGCTCTCAGTGTTGAAGTAGAGGATCAGCGGGTTCACGGAGGCTGTAAACACCCGGCCGGCAGAAATGTCCGTCGCACAGAACCTGGAAAGAGAACCGCCAGCTGAAGAGTAATGTCAGACAGTCTCCGTTCTAATCCATGGTGACTTGTTCCTGAAGTTGATATATAGTAGTGGAGCTACTTAGAGCGGATTAGCAGACTGAATTGCTGTCACGTGGAAAAAATATAATGAAACATTACAATAAAAAGTCACTTAAAGCTATTAATTTTATAAAAAGAAATCTATTCGATTTGCTCATTTCATTTGAACGACAGTATTCGATTTTTTGTGTTGCTGTAAATTAGACATAAGGCAGCTCCTTACTCACACATCACCACTAACAGTATTAGTGGTTCTAATTTCCAGAAAGTCGAAGTAGCAGCAAGGAACATTGTTGCAGTAAGGGTTCCGTCCATACAGCTTAAAGCTGCTGAACGTGAGTCTAGCATAGTAGCACTTAGGAGCCTTGATCACATAGGTGCATCTTGAGCCTGTCGAGTTAAGCTGAATCAGGACATTATTAGCACACTGGAAGCAGAAGATGAGCTAGAATCAAATATAGTTTGAATGGAGAACAGTCGCATGTTGAATGAACCAGTCCTGGTACTTAAAATTATTTACACTCATCAAATAATCTAGTTACAGAAGTTAAAATCAACTCCATCAAACTCTCTGATGGAACCTTAAAAAAAGAGGAAAATAAACTCAAACAAACACCCAGCAGCATCACAGAAAAGCTTAAAATGACATATGAACATAACAATCAAGGATACTGCAGAAGGATTATTGGCCCATACTTGGCAGCTCCTATATTTATATCAACCCAAACATATTCATATATATATATATATATATATATATATATATATATATATATATATATATATATATATATATTTATATATATATATATATATATATATATATATATATATATATATATATATATATTTATATAATCTAATCTAATCATCCAAAAGATCTTCACCGATTGTTTCGAAATTTTGACACAACGTTCCATTCACTTCCGAGCAGGTTTTTATATACATACTATATAGATGTCACGTTTGTGATGGGGAAAAACATGTTTTTTTCTGAAAACTGTGTTTTTGCATGTGTTTTTCATGTGAGAGAAATTTTCGAAATCTCTTTACCGATTACTTTGAATTTTTGACACAACCTTGCATTCGAATAGGCGCGTCTTTTTATATATCTACTATACACATGCTTCACCTGTGAGAAAAAAAAACATGCTGTTTTTGAAAAACATCTGTTGCATGTAAGAGCAACACACATACTATACTAAATATATAACAATTCCATTTCAATGTTTCTAATTGCATTGACAAACTGAATTTTCATAGATTTTGATTTATTTTCATTTTGACTTAATTATTTTGTGTGAATTGCGTTGGAATTGAGCTGTGTTGTTTACCATACCGTTCATTTCGTGAGTATAGTTTATTTTTTTATTTATTCACATTTTCATTTCATTTTATAACTGTTTTTCTTATATTTCAGTGATGGGAACATCAGGTCACTTGATGTTCTCAATTTTCCCATCAGAACATTTGGGTAGGCATCGGACGAGGGAGTGGGGAATGGTGGGGATGACGAGGGGACGGAAGTGTGAGATGGTGGGGAGGACGAGGGGACAAGGGAGGGAGTAATGGTGGGGAATGACGAAGGGACAGGGGGAGTTTGGGATGGTGGAGACGATGGGATGGGGGAATTTTCAAGATGAAGACGAATTGTATTTGCAATTATCGATTCAAGTAACTTTCCCACAATAGACGTTAGGCTAATTGGTCGATAGTTTGACGCAAGTGATCGATCACCTTTCTTAAAAATTGGTACCACATTAGCAACTTTCCATGACTCAGGCACTTTGTCTTACTCTATTGATTTATTAAATATGGAAGAAAGTGGCTCGCAAAGCTCCTCTTTGCATTCTTTAAGCACCGTGGCAAACACTTCATCCAGACCTGGGGATTTGTTTGGTTTTAGTTTTTCTATTTGTTTAATTACATCCTCCCTGGTAACTGCTAAACTAGTCAACCTGTTCTCATCCCCACCGACATAGACTTGTTCGGCTGAAGGCTTATTGTTAAGTTCCTCTTTAGTAAATACAGATATAAAATATTTATTAAAAATACTACTCATCTCCTCGTCACTATCCGTTATTTGACCTGTCTCAGTTTTTAATGGATCTATGTTTTTACTAATCTTTGTTCGATATAACTGAAAAAACCCTTCAGGATTTGTCTGTGCTTGCCCTGCTATGCGAACTTCATAGTTTCTTTTAGCTTTCCTTATCTCTTTTTTAACATTTCTGACCAGTTGTACGAATTCCTGTTCTGAACTGACTTCCCCATTCTTAATCCTTTTGTACCACGCTCTCTTTTTACCTATAAGGTTCTTCAGATTCTTTCTTATCCATTTTGGGTCATTAGTACTCGATCTATTCAATTTGTATGGTAAATTCCGTTCCTGTGCTTTGCTTAGAATATTTTTAAATAAGTTATATTTTGAATCCACATCGAAATCTCTTTTAACGTCTCCTATCGCTGGGTACACGTCTCCGCACACAAAACTATACTCCTGAACTTTATTTAGAACTGATTTGTTCTATACTCCTGAAATAACATAGCAATAACAAAGAGTTAGCTTGTTATAATAATAAGCCCTCATTAAGGCCATCGAAAACAGAACCTTTACCTGCCGGGTAGTTATTGGGATAGTTTGGAGATGTGATGACTCCAGCTTTGGTGATCGTCTTCGAGCACTTGGGAAATTTGTTATCTGTTAGATAAACGGGCTTGTGGTTAGTTCCTTGATGTTGGTGTGTCGATGGTAGTGAATTATTATAGGAGGTGATGTGCAGTGTATTGTACCTGGAGGGACGAAGGAAAAGGTATATGGTAATGCAGGCGGTGAGTCACAGTAACGTGGCTGAAGAATGTTGACCAGACTACACACTAGAAGGTGAAGGGACGACGACGTTTCGGTCCGTCCTGGACCATTCTCAAGTCGATCACACTCGACTTGAGAACGGTCTAGGACGGACCGAAACGTCGTCGTCCCTTCACCTTCTAGTGTGTGGTCTTGTCAACGTATATAGTAATGGGATGCTTGTTTGGGAGATTAGTTTTTGAGTCTTGTCTGGTAGATTGCTAATGATTAGAAAGTCGTTGATAGTGTTATGCTGCTTTGTGTTGCGTTATTTAAAAAAAAATATTGTTTTAACGTTGAAATTGATAATGAGTGATATGCTATTCAATAAACCTTAAATGAAAGAGTGATAATTTCTTGCGTGTCGATAAATATCTCAACAGTATTGTCAATATAGCTGTAGTGTTATTGAAGTGGTTATCTTACCGTAGTAACCACCAGTTATAGTCTGGCACTTGCTGCCGGAGGTGCCAGGTGGACACACACACCCACATTTCACGCCAAGATAACCTCCGTTTTTACATGGATCTGAAGAAAGCTTACAAGCCGCCAACCATTTGTCTGTGTGCACAACAGAGAAAATAATTTTGTTGGCATGTTTTTCTAACAAATGATTATTTTTGCCATATTCAGGTACGTGGCGCCTCACACGAGCGTCAGAACTCTCTAAACCGTTCACATCTGCACTAAGGTAAAGATCATCATACCAATCACAGAAACACTGATGAATAAGAATGTTCATCGATACAGGTAGTCTGAAACTATCGCTAAAAACACAATAATTCCGTTACAAACACTTTGCATGAACGAATAATGTGGCAATAACATGCTCTATACCAGATACCAGTATTCTTGAACCCAAACAAGGCAACTACTAAAGCATGGGAGCAACAACAAGAGATATTAATCGTCCGTAAAAGGACTACTCAAACTTGTAATCGATGCACCTAAATATTTATTAATTTGATTCTGACAATTATATTTTAAAGAGTTTTGAAATACTAGAGATATGCACTCATTTCATAAGTCCATTTTGCTCTTGAAAATAATTTCAGACTCTCGCTACTAATTCCGTTATCTCGTCTTGAGTTGAATAATTTATTGATAGAAAACGACGTATCTCGCCTCATGAGTTGCACATTATCTATACAGAACGACGTGTCTCGTTTCTGGGTCAACCAGGACTAGTTGGCCGCTGAATGAGAACGTCATTAAACATATGGATAAAGCAGACAACATAATACCTATTAGTCCAAACGATGCAGTTCATGCGTATAGCCAATCACTCCTAATCATGATTTTATTAATCCATTTGCTTGACAATTTCCACTTAGATTTCTTCCATTATGTGATTAGATAAGTTATTCGAAACACCAACGATCCAATTTACGAACAACTGTTTGCCAGGTTTTCGTATCATTTCCAAGTTCTGCGTAGTCACACTTAGCGCTCTCCTCTCATATTAATCTTACCTCGTCTAAGAGTTATCTAAATAATTTTCTACCTTTAAATGAGCATCAACGAATTTTACAAGATTCAAGGCATGTCTTGATTTTGCGTATTAATTTGGTTCCATGCTCATCGCTTTAATAAATAAGTATTATTAATACGTATTTATTAATTATTTCACATGAAACAAATACAGCCCGCAGCTACATCAAAACATTTCTATCGTCATTTTTAAGCGTAGGTTGCTGGAATAATATCTGCACAACACTTCTGCAGATTGTTACTAAATAAGTAAATACCAGAACTGCAAATCCTGAACTGGTTACAAAAGTGAAAGACTGCCACTACGGTTGGAAGAACCCGGTTTCAAACCCATGTGCCAACCATCAAAGTTAATATTTAACATGACATGACAACCATGTCCATCAAAGTTAACACTTAACACTCATGCGCCCGAATATTATAAGGAAGGTGAACCCACAACCCACTGCCACACCAGAGAACGGCCATCACACACACCGATGCAGCCATACATGCGGTTGGCCAGCAACTTGTCCCGGTGAGAGAGACCAGAACGCTGGCCAATGAGACCTTGAGCCAGAGGGTCAATGGTGCTGATGGTCAGTTTTCCGTTCTTCGATAAGTACTGGAAGATGGAGAGAAAATAGTAATTTAATATATGTTATATATTAGAGGATCACACGAGCATCACAGCTTCTGAAACCAAGATTGATTCTAAACTTTTACACAAACGATGAAAAAACCACGAAAAATAATGAATAAGATGCGACAGGATCTAACCATTGTTACTAAAAAAGTCATCTGCATAATTGTATAGACTACTTATAGTTTTCAACTCATTAGACAATAGAGTTGTTCCAAAGGTTTTACAAATATCTGAATGTAATTAAAAGCCTAATAAAGTCTAAACTCTTAAATGCAATCAAGACCACGTGTCTAAGTTGTATAATAAAGAAAGTTAATTTGGGTTTACCAATTGTTCTTAGGAAGGAGAATAGGTTTATAAAGAGAACTGACTTAGATCATTAATTAAAGTTCGACGTGAGGAACAACAGAACGTTGAGGATAAATATGAAAACAAGATATAAACCATAGGATGGTCTCGGAAATGAAGTAAAACTAAATAAAATAAAGAACTATTAAAACAAGAATTTCATCAAAATCACCATCAGTTACTTAAAACCTTACCGTAGAGCCGTAATGCATCACTGAGGTATAATCATAGGGAACACTGTAGTTGTTGATCTGAGCTGCAGAGTATTTGTTGAAGTTACTTTCCATACCAGAGATGATGTTAGCAGAGATAATTCTGACGAAAGAATCTCGCTCGGGACGGGACTGCTCGTGGTAGAATCCCATAGCGTGGCCAACTTCGTGAGCAACAGTGCCGACCTGTGCACAGAAAGAGAGAGAGAGAGAGAGAGAGAGAGAGAGAGAGAGAGAGAGAGAGAGAGAGAGAGAGAGAGAGAGAGAGAGAGAGAGAGAGGGAGAGAGGGAGAGAGAGAGAGAGAGAGAGAAAGAGAGATAGAGAGAGAGAGAGAGAGAGAGAGAGAGAGAGAGAGAAAGAGAAAGAGAGAGAGAGAGAGAGAGAGAGAGAGAGAGAGAGAGAGAGAGAGAGAGAGAGAGAGAGAGAGAGAGAGAGAGAGAGAGAGAGAGAGAGAGAGAGAGAGAGAGAGAGAGAGAGAGAGAGAGAGAGAGAGAGAGAGAGAGAGAGAGAGAGAGAGAGAGAGAGAGAGAGAGAGAGAGAGAGAGAGAGAGAGAGAGAGAGAGAGAGAGAGAGAGAGAGAGAGAGAGAGAGAGAGAGAGAGATAGAGAGAGAGAGAGAGAAGAGAGAGAGAGAGAGAGAGAGAGAAGAGAGAGAGAGAGAGAAGAGAGAGAGAGAGAGAGAGAGAGAGAGAGAGAGAGAGAGAGAGAGAGAGAGAGAGAGAGAGAGAGAGAGAGAGAGAGAGAGAGAGAGAGAGAGAGAGAGAGAGAGAGAGAGAGAGAGAGAGAGAGAAGAGAGAGAGAGAGAGAGAGAGAGAGAGAGAGAGAGAGAGAGAGAGAGAGAGAGAGAGAGAGAGAGAGAGAGAGAGAGAGAGAGAGAGAGAGAGAGAGAGAGAGAGAGGTATAAAATTATGTAAATAATGGATAAAGTTGCAGATGGTCAATTCCCATAAGTATGGGTGAAATTGCAGTTGCCCTATTCTCATTATTCGATTTACTTGTCATTTCCTTATGTTATGTTTATGCGTAAGTATCCACAAGGAAACTCAAACTAAAATTCCACATTCCACGTTATATTTTGTTTAATTTACTCGCGTGTGGGATTACACAAGCCAACGCACTTGTATTATCCCTCTGCTGTTCTTGAAATTGTGTTAAATCACAAAATCGCTCGGTTATTTTAGTTTAGGTAACAGGGAATCAGTGACAGTAGCCAATAGAACCGATCAACAAATGCCTATTGATAAAAAAATTTAAGTTTACCGAAGACAAAACACGCGACACTTACCCCGTTACACCCATTCCCAATAGAAATGTCTTGGCCATTCCAGTAATATATGCGTCCAATGTAGGACCAGCATCCATTACCCAATATAAACCTGAGATGAGGTTGGTTGGTGTTGGTGGTCAGTTTAAATTTGATGCATGTGTTGTCCGTCCAGTGTTTCAGCCCAGCCTTTACTGCCGCTACGTCTACTGAAGGGATAATATACAGTACGTAAATGCTCTGGAAAATGAGTGAAACTAATGTGGTTGATGCCGTAAGAAAATAGAGTTGGAAAACTATGAACGAAGTTGACAGATGCGAAAATAAAGAACGATTTGCGTGTGCGCAAAAGGATTACCCAGAGGAAGGAAAGACAAGATCTTTCAGGATAGCTGGATGGTAATGATCATATCGAAGCAGAAGAAAATTATTTTGTTGTGCTTCCAGTCGAGCACAGTGTCAAGGCTGCAAGTAAAGACAATGGTATGAGACGAAAATCGTTATTTAAGGCATGATCACACCATGATGGTTGGAAACTTCCAGGTTTGTCATTGGGACCCCGATGTTCTGTGCCAAGGATCTTAGGTTGAGCTTCCTGGAAGCAGGGCAACATGGACAATATGAAAGATGTACGATGTACAATAGATACAGGAATGGAGAAGATGGAACTTTCGTTTAAGAGATTGAAGAGGATGAAGAAGTAGTAGTAGTAGTAGAGGAGGCTAGACAATATATGGTAGATGTCGAAAAGACTGGCGAAGATATAGTTATCGTAGAAGAGACTGGAAAAATGGAAGATAATTATTAACTTATTAAGGAGAAGACAAACTACGAACCACAAACCATGAACCAAGCGATGAAGGCAAGATGTAGTCTGTATTAGGAGAAATAAGAGGCCTAAACTGCGACTTCCTGGGCTAGAGGGAGAGGACCAGGTTATTTGTGGCTCTCAGGAAACACGGGGAAAGAATAGCTGGCTCATTCTTCATGAAGAAATGTCGTTTATATGGCGAGGATTTTGGGGGGTCGCTTACCACCAGATACCGCTGTGGTGTCCCAAAGGAGATATTATAAAATCAAGAAATAAATATCAGCTACTATATTGATCTACCTTATTGTGAGCATCGTGCGCTAGGTGAGAACAGTAGTGTATTCGCGTTTTACAGGTGCGAGATCAAATCCTTCACGATCCTTGTATATTTAATTGTGTTTCCTCACTACATTATTCGGAGAATGTGCATATAATTTCGGTGTTCTTAACATTTCATATAACTACTGCAACATCTAGCTTACCTGGACTAACAGTGACATAAGGCACCAGAGGGAAGCCGTCGGGTCCAGCTGGCCAGCGGTAAGTTAGGTCAGCAATGGCCTTCCTCTCCCTCAAAGCTTGCCACTGTTGGGGCGTCAACATTATGTCCTTCTGGTAGAGCGGCCGACCGTCCACAATGTCTGGGTTGGTGTACTCGAACCCTTTGTCCTTAAGAGATGTAGTAAAAGGAGTGGCTATTCGAATATGAGAAATACGACACTGCAAAAGAGTTACATATCCAATTATTTCCAATCATGTATTTGTCAAATTTTTGTTTGAAATTTTCCAGTGAATTGCCTGTATTATCCTTACTTCATAACTTGTGCTAAGGCAATACGTTCAAAAACTATTTTTCAGCATTAGTTATTGCCTACAAAATATTATTTTCACCGTTCCTCTCTTCATCATGTAAAAAAATAAAAACGGAAAATAAGTATGTACTTTGCAATGGGGCTCCTCAAAAGTGTTAATAGAGCACTCTTTGTGTGGTTGTAAAACAGACAGCGTGTGTGTGAATACGCGCGAACGCTGATTAACTTACCTTATGCATGATGTAAGGAATTAGAGTGGTCTCGGGCTTCTGAAGAGGTGAAATACAACAATTTGAATCTCCATATTCCAAGAAAATAAATAAGACATTTAATAACAATGCTTCGTGGATCAATCATATAAAAACAATTGAGTCGAAATTGGATTGAACTTCAAAATGCTGAGATTCAACCATAAGTTTGTGTTTATCTGAAGGCTTTAAATACGAATATAAATTTTTTTTCATTTATATATACAAGAGGCGTTACATTCTTGTACACCCACTAGTATGCGTAGCGTTTCGGACCTTATTAAAAACAATTCATGAATGACTAAAACTCTGATAATGGAAAAAGGAATCCTTAACTTACACTGATTTCAAATTTCAAGCAGCAACTTCGACTTTTATTTGTTTTGTAAACAATCATATGGAAATAACTATAAATAATACCGGAACATACCATTAGAGAACATTGTCTGTAAACACAAAATAAATGACTACTGAATTGGTTTTAATAATGCAAGAAACTTAGTTTCTTATCAATGTATCATATATATAAATATAAATGAAGGGTAACTTACGTGAGTTCGAGAGACCACAGCAAAAGGACTGGCCACAGCCAAGCACCACCATAACAGGGGGACCATGTTAACTGGAACGCTGCTGATCGATATCTGTGGCTGTGGGAGTCAGCTTTCAGTTCATATACTACCGTCAACCTCGCCTCAACGCCCTCAGGATGCCACTCAACTTGCCGAAGAAGTTGTTAAACGTTAATATTTGATTTACATGTTTACTTAGGTAGCTGTATCATCGTGATTTTGAGTGGGATCACATGCACGTTTGACTGTAAGATAATTGTACATTACAAAGCATGTATAGATTTACATTTTTATGTCAGACTGTATACAACCATCAAACGTTGTCGTTTCTTTACTTTCTGATGTGTGGTTTCGTTATAAGTCATATTTTTTAAAAAAATTTCTGTCCTACAACACACTTTTATTTATATATACATATTTTAATTTAAACTTGATTACAGAGGATTAGTTAGAACATTGCGTATATGGAATAGATAAAGTGAATTGTCACAAAATGTACTCCCCTATTTGGGCTTGCGGGGGTTGAGCTTTGGCTCTTTGGTCCCGCCTCTCAACCGTCAGTCAACTGATGTGCAGATTCCTGAGCCTACTGGGCTCTATCATTTCTCTATATTTGAAAATGTGTATGGTGTCAGCCTCCAACAAATCACTGCCTAATGCATTCTATTTGTCAAACACTCTGATACTAAAAAAAATCTTTCTAATATATCTGCGGCTCATTTGGGGACTCAATTTTCACTTGTGTCCCTTGTGTTAAATAGCCTGTCTTTATGTACCCTGTCAATTCTTCTGAGAATCTTGTACGTGGTGATCATGTCCCCCCTAACTCTTCTGTCTTCCAGCGACGTGAGGTTTAATTCCCGTAGTCTCTCCTCGTAGCTCATACCTCTCATCCCGGTTACTAGTCTGGTGGCAAACCTTTGAACCTTTTCCAGTTTAGTCTTATGCTTGACTAGATATGGACTCCATGCTGGGGCTGCATACTCCAGGATTGGTCTGACTAGAGGTGGTATACAAAGTTCTGAATGATTCCTTGTACAAGTGTCTAAATGCCGTTCTTATGTTAGCGAGCCTGGCGTATGCTGCTTATGTTATCCTCTTGATATGGGCTTCAGGGGACAGGTCTGGCGTGATATCAACCCCGTAAGTCTCTCTCTCTCTCTCTCTCTGACTCCTAAAGAAATTTCATCTCCCAAATGATACCTTGTAACTGGCCTTCTGCTCCCTACACCTATCTTCATTACATTACATATGCTTGGGGGTTAAACTCTAACAACCATTTGTTCGACCATTCCACAGTATTACAGTGACACTGTGTGTGTGTGTGTGTACTCACCTATTTGTGCTTGCGGGGGTTGAGCTTTGGCTCTTTGGTCCCGCCTCTCAACTGTCAATCAACTGGTGTACAGATTCCTGAGCCTACTGGGCTCTATCAATCTACATTTGAAACTGTGTATGGAGTCAGCCTCCACCACATCACGTGTATGTGGAGGCTGATATCATGTGTGTGTGTGTGTGTGTGTGTGTGTGTGTGTGTGTGTGTGTGTGTGTGTGTGTGTGTGTGTGTGTGTGTGTGTGTGTGTGTGTGTGTGTGTGTGTGTGTGTGTACTCACCTAGTTGTGCTTGCGGGGGTTGAGCTCTGGCTCTTTGGTCTCCGCCTATCAACTGTCAATCAACAGGTGTACAGATTTCTGAGCCTTCTGGGCTTTATCATAGCTACATTTGAAACAGTGTATGGAGTCAGCCTCCACCACATGCATTCCAACTGTTAACTACTCTGACAATAAAAAAGTTCTTTCTATCGTCTTTGTGGCTCATTTGGGTAATCAGTTTCCACCTGTGTCCCCTTATTCGTGTACCACACGTGTTAAACTGTTTATCTTTATCTACACTGTCAATTCTTCTGAGAATGTTGTAGGTAGTTATCATGTCTCCTCGTGCTAGCCTGTCTTCCAGCGACATTTCACGCATCCTTTCCTCGTAACTCATGACTCTCAGTTCTGGGACTAGCCTAGTGGCATACCTCTGAACTTTTTCCAGTTTCGTCTTGTGCTTGCAAATGTACGGGCTCCATGCTGGGGCTGCATACTCCAGGATTGGTCTTACTTATTTGGTACACAACGTTCTGAATGATTCCTTACACAGTTCCCTGAAAGGAGTTCTGATGTTAGCCAGCCTTGCATACGCCGCAGATGTTATTCTTTTTATGTGGGATTCGGGAGACAGGTTTGGCGTGATATCAACTTCTAGATCTTTCTCTGTCCGTTTCATGAAGGAATTCTTCTCCCATTCGGTATCTTATTCTGGGCCTTCCTTTTCCGCCACCTAGTGTGTGTGTATGTGTGTTCGTCTCTCTGAACATTATATATGTATGTGTTATTAGCCATATGTGTGTGTGGAATTTTGCTATCTTCATTAGGAGTCAACTTATACATTTCCATATACAAACTCATTTACTAATCAGAGACTCAAATGAAGTTTCGAACAATATAACCCAAAATAAGAGGAGGGAAGAATATCAAAACAAATTTTCTGAACATTTCTGTTCATCGAAAAGTAGCAAATGTTCTTTAATTTTTTTTATACAAGATTAAACCATAAATATAGAGCACTCATAATCTGAGAATCTGTTTTTGTTTCTTGAGTGAATTTAGTTTACAACTTTCTAGATTTGCTAAAACAGTTAAAAGTTTCGGCAGCATTATTACATGTCACGGCTATTTCTATGGCAGCGCGCACTGAATAACGAAGTTTGTCAAAGGTTATAACATTTGTACGTTAAAACAAATTTATAGTTTCATCATCCAAAAATATGTAACTTTATTAGATAATCTATGACTGAATTTATGCACCTTTCCAAGCCTATTTTTTTCATCCTAATATTGATATATTACTTATGTTCTAAGCTGACGGCCATATTACAAATTACCTAACGGGCTGTATATATTATATTACAAAGTAGAGCAGTGTCCTTGCTTCAATATATTTTGCAGTCAAAGCTATACCACGTGTGTGTGGTATAATCAATAATCAAGAGGGGTTATTTCTCTCTGGAAAAAATGACGCCCTCCTGAGACTAATTCTTATATTTTGCTTCTTGAAGGAGACAAGCTAATCACGCTCCTTAATGAAAATTCAAGAAATAGTGCGAGATAAGTAGAAAAATGGGCTTTTAATTAGTGGCATGAAGACTTATGGAGCAAGGTATCGGAATAATTTGGCGTTGGGCCTTACGGCTACCATATCATTACTAACCAGCCAAGAAGTGTACTTTAGTGCTTTACATAACTTGAGACTCAGTACTCTTCTCGGTGAGATATACCTCACGGTACCCCAAGAGTATAATAATTATATGCTGGGTTTAATTTGCAATGTTAAATGTGATTCTTGTATTGTGATTTGTGTATTTGTACTCAATGAATTTGTGCGCCCCTTGAGGGACTTGCAATAGAGGGGGGGGGGGTTAGAAATGGCCTAAGCTACTCTATCCCTTTGAGATGTATTTCTCTTGTCTCAGTAAACATATTTGAACTTGAACCTCACGGTATATATTTAAGACTGTAAAGCTTGGTGAGGCACAATGAAGAGTACTGGTGAATAAAAGGTGAAAGATTTGCATCCTTCTCCTGGTGGTCCTCTACAATGTTCAGCATTTAGAAATCAGTTGCTAATCGTTTTTCCTTAAATATCACCCCAAACTAAGATGTTGTCAGCGTTCACCAAAAAGGTCCAGGCATTCCCTGGGAGGGTTATGTGGGGCAAATAATCAGAAAACGGCCGCTAACACATTAGTCCCCCAACTAGGAAGCCAAATAAATTTACTCGCTACACTCGGCGATAGATTAAAATTGGTTCCCAATACAGTACTCTTTCAGAATAATAGATTTTAATGAACATGACACATGTGATGTTCAATATAGTGTGCTGTCGTAACACATTTGGTTATCACTCATGAGGAGAATCCAGCTTAGTCGTGCTTAATCCCCGCTGTGGGTGGCGTTATTGGTTAGGGAGTTCAGGGGCTCCATCCCCAGTTCTCCAGACTTGGCGTTCGGGTGATGATGTGGTGTTAACAAGAGCTCGTGAGCCTAAATGCTGGCCAAGATATTGATTTACCGAGATCAAAAAGTTTCTAGAAAATGTTCTTTTATCTTTCGATAACATGATAATAATAATACTATATTATTTATATAACATCCCTTTTTTCATATTGGATCCGCAAATCCCCCTTGTCAATAAGGAGATAGTGCAATGAGTCTTTTCAGTGATTTTTGTTCCTGGCTCATTGACACAACAAGAACTCCTAGAGTAGCGAGCTTCCTTTTCCAGCTGCTCAGTGTGGCGATGCAGAGGGAGAATGCCAACTGCATTTTCTGTTCCTTTTCGAAGTTCGAATAAATCTACAGTCTCTTGGAAAGA